CGTTAAGAAACTGCCCTTTGAAGGTACATCACCATTCTTACAAAACATTTTCTACTTTAAAGCAATTACCCAGGCATGTATATAGCATCCCATACAAATAACATTTAAACATTTAGTTATACAATTATTTGAAAGTAAAAAACTTGAGACCATAGCCTGCCATTCAACCTTTAACTTTCTTCCACATACATACTGTCCAGGGTCTATGGTGTTCTTCCTTCACTGAAGTCATCTCAGGATACCTTGCTATCACAGCGAAACAAGTGCTTTGCATTTTTATCCCTGCGAGTTAATGGTTTCCCACAGCATTTATTGTATGGAATTCTCAACTACTCTTGCTCATCAACTATTCTAGGGTATCTATCAACAGCATCTCAACATTTCCTATAAAGTAAGAAAGTCTTACCTCAAAGCTCTGATCTCACTCAGCTAGACAAAGGTGCCCATTAATGTTGGCTGCTGTTATGTGCAGCAGCTGTCAAAACTTTTAGTCTAAAATATTTAAAGGGAAAAAAATGCAGATCTGATTGCACTGAAAAAAAAATTATTAATCTCTCCTACTTTCATTTTGGTTTTAGCTCATTTAGTTTTTTCAATATTTTAGAGACAAACCAGAACATTTTAAAAAAATCAGAAAGAACATTTGAGGTTGAACAAAATGCGTGCCTTTTTTAAAAAAATCTTTTTCATTACCTGCAACATTTCAAACATTTTCAAGTTTCACTGTAATAATTCTATTTATACTTTCAGCATCCTGATCCAGCTTGGTTCTTACAATTCATCTTGCGAGTGCAAGGTACAGGTACCAGCTAGATGTCAAATTGTCATTTACAGGGCTTGCCTAGCATTACTAAAGACACTCTTGCCTGAAGTTGAGGTAGAGACAAATTCCTCCTTTATGGTCCCTTAGAGTACTCACTTGCCTCAGTTATCAGAGTCTCCAACACAGAGAAGAAATGAAAGCAGCAATCTCATCCTGAGCTTCCTGCCCTCCACGTTGTAATGGAGCACTGCCCTTTAGCGGGGTAGCTTTATCCGGGAAAAAGTGCCTAACGTTGTAATTAAAGATGCAAATGTCTTCAGGCATTGGGTGGGGACTGAATTAAAGCAGGGCAAACTTCCAGGACTTCTCTAAATTTTGCCTACTTGACTTTCCAAATGTTTTAATGGAGTTTTTGGCATAGAAATTGTAAAATTACATTAAGTGAGGTTCTTCTTTGGAGGCTTTGGCAACAAAGCACTTTGCAGGGTGGAGCCTAAGATATTTGCTGCCAGTACGAGAAGGCTGGAGTCTAGGAAGACTTAAATTGTTTGCTAGAGCCATGCAGTAAGATGAGGAGACCTTCACATAAGGAAGGGGGAAGAGATGTGCATCACGCGCTGGTGTCGACATGGACTGATGGAAGAATAAAGCTCTTTTTCTACCTCATCTCTGTCGTGCAGTGGAAACAGAGGTACATGAACAAGATTCAAGAAGCACATTACTGGATAGGAGGCAGGCAGTCACTGAAAGCCACCTTCGGGACACGAGCTCCAACCTCCCTTGCTTTAGAGTCACGGAAGGCTTGGGCTCCAACAGGAACATCCCGGCTCATGCTTCTGTGCACAGTATCAGCGTCTCTGCTGATGGCACACAGGAAGGAGAAACTACAGGAAGGAGAACTGGTACATCATGTCAAATCCAGAAGGAACGTAACCGGATGGAGAAGTGCTCAGGAAGCAGAGCAGGGCATGTTTTCATGCTGGATTTTCAAAACACTCCAAGAATTTTATTCCTAGAGAGTCACTGCACTGTATGTGATCACAACCACCATAGAGAAAATGAAAGCAGAATAGCTGCAATATTGCTGGTTTGGACATTCAAATAGGGAGGGTTTGTAACAAATTCAAATAAAACCCAGATTTCCTGGCTTGGACACTACCTTCTAACTACGTCTGTACAGGCCTCTTCTCATACACTTGTGACGTGAACTGCGCAGACACCAACATGTTACAAGGCAAAAGCTAAGAAGCCTCACTACAGAGCACTGTGATTCCAGGACTTAAGAATTAGGTCAGGCACGTCACCTTTGAGTCAGAGCCTTTGAGGAGAGAACACGTCTGCCTACCAAATACATTCTGCAGCATGATAAAGCAGATTAGAGTTGACAACAGGCTGTGTCCTTGGTTTGGAAGACAACATTCTTCAGCAGAAGAAAACTCAGTGTTATCTGGAGAAAAAAAAAAAACCGCATAGCAAATTGTTCAGATGACTTGAAAAGTGGAAAAAGAAAACTATTCCAGTCTAACAGTTTACTCTATCTGGTTTCATTATTTGCATTTAGCCTAATACCTTAAGGAAACGTGTCTTCTACAATTACATTTCAGACACGCAGGCAAGAATGCATGTCTTCCCCCAAAGCTTTTGGAGCCACTTGCCACATTTGACAAAAGAATTTTAAGTTTATACGCTCCTACAAGTATTACAAAAAACCAGCAGCTGTTAGAAACAAAGAAAATCATATTGCAGGCTCTTACTAGATACTAGACAGCATAGAAGAAAAAAAAAAAGAAACCAACAACTTAGCAATGTTCAAATATGAAAAAATTTTCAGCCAACGCTGACACCTTATAAGATACTCTGGCATCACTAGTTCTGATACTTCCAGAACTATTTGTTTTAAGGGGAGAATATGAGCTACTTCATACATCAAATTATGGAAAAAGATAGAAGGAAATTTAAAATAAAAATACCTTCTTTCACTGCCCTATAGTACTTACTGTGTACTGGAAAATGTTGACATTTCAAATTTATACAGCACAACCCAGCTGACATTGATGAGGTAGAGTCTTACTGACTATACGGCATGCATGTGCCCTGGCCTATATAGTTTCATGCCAGAGAGAATTACTACTGCACAAAGCTGGATCACAGAAATATACCTGGATACACAGGGTGAAACCACTAGCTCGATAGTGTCCAGCAGAAAAAGCATCACATCGTTTGTAAACATTTCCAGCTATGGTGAGCTATCACACCCTTTGAAGCACGAATAATTAGTGTTCGGAGCATTCTGCCAATACACTAGTTTTCAGTCTTTCTAATTTCATCTTCCAAGTTGCTAGAGTGTTTTGTTTGCCACTTTTATTCAAGGTGTTTAAGTGCATTCTCACACCTCAGCATAAACCCAGATAGTACAAACTGAATAGTTATCAATGGGTAACTTCTGAAACATTGCAAACTGCATGGATGATAAAACCAATACTAGAGTATATTTATAGTTCCTATAAGAGCCTGCATATTTATTATTAAAGATATTTCTTGTTATATACTTTATTTATTATGAATCAAACATATCCAGTACAGAAGTATGAAAATGATGCAGCCACCATACAACTCGTTCAGAGCAACAGAATTCTCAACTCAGACCATACACAGAAACAGGTTTTAATTAAAATACTGCAGACATGGAAAAAAAAACCCAGAAGGAACCATGTCCTGCACTTCATGCTTCAGAGTCCGTTCCAAAAGACAGTACCACTTAAAGCAACAGTTGCTTGCTTGTCTGTAATTATACTAACAGAAATTTAAATCAATGTCTTAACTGAAATGCAACTTGATATCCACATCAAGAATATTCTACTATTGCTGAAACTGCGATACCATGGGCAGTTCCAGAAGTTGTAGTGGGCCTGCTGAAGCCAGGGGTTACTGGCTTCAGTGGATGTTGACTAAGCTGACCACTTTCAAACCTGAAGGGATGACAGTTCGGCTAAGGGAATATACTGTTCAGAAACATCCACTGGACAGCCACTGTAAGTCAAAGTTAAACTTAGAGAACTTTGAAGCTGTTATCCTTTTGTTCCGAAAGGATAAGCTACATGCAACTTAAAGATCTCTGTGCAGTGACACCACCAGCGAATTACCTGGTAGCAACAGAAATACTATCTTTAACAACATTTTATTAAACAAAATGTTAAACAGAGGATATATACAAGTCAGAACTGCATGACGATCCTAATAAATATTTTCAAAACACTGCTGAAATTGTCACCAACTTTCAGAGAATTTTTTGAGACACTTCAGAACTTGAACTTTTATTTTCCTCTAAAAATCACGTACTCTGCATATAAGAGATCTTGTATTATTCCCACTGTTGCCAGCAATTTGGAGTTTTGAAGTGGACAGATTAAATCAGCTTGCTCTGGCATATCCAGCTGAAGCAGCTTGGGAGCCTACCACCCTGTTTCACCAGGAGAGGTTCCCACCACTGTGAGAGACCCGACAGCAGAGAATGCACCTGCGCCTCTACGGCTCCTGCTCAAGGTCTGAAGCTGAAACTGCCAACAAAGGCGAGCTCTCAGCAAGGCACTGCAAATGGGAGCTGCAGCATCTGAGCGTGGGCGCATCTCTCTTCCTGCCAGATCTGCAAGCAGCACCATCCTAAACACCTGTGACAATCTACTCGGTGAATCCAAGTCACAGCCCCTCCATGCAGTTCAAAACAGCTCCACGCTCCTGCCTCCTACTAATCTGTACAGCAAGCTTAAGATTATTTTCCACTGGTAAGTCTTTTAAAGGTATTTACCGTACTTGACTTACTGTATTTTGTATCAACACATATATAAAAAAATGTATGTGCACACATATATATGTATGTATCATTCATACATACACACAAAATTATACATTTATGTATGTATAAAGATGCAGAGTGTATTTTCTCCATCACAGACAAATCTTTAAAGAGAATTGTATTCGATAGGAAAACTTTTGTGTCTCAAAATAAAGTAAAAAATAGGTGTTCTCATTAGATATAGCCAGAATTCCTTAACTGCATTTCCTCTTTTACATATAAAAGGTATACATTTAGATAAGACAATCCCTTCAGGAGGAGAAAAAGTTGCTTTTCATACTCAAGATATCTTTCCTAAAATCGCTTCAGAAGAAAATCTCCCAAGCCATGCAGAAGAAATATATGTGTTTGTAGCTATGAATTTGAAAGTAACAAAAATGAGTGCAGAAGTAAAAATCTACTGGAATTTATTCCACTTTTAAGGAAACAACTACAGTTCCAAAATGTCCTCTATGAAGAAACTGGGGTTTACGAAGGTGCAGTCTGTGTCATAAATGTCCTCTTTAGATATAGATATTACTGTGAGTTTCATTGGTTGTCAGTAACTTCTTCAGAATCTTTGTGCTTTCAGATACATCCTAGGAAAAGGAGATGATCAGCATTAGCTACATTGCTGGTAACAAGACAAAACAAAAAAGCCTCGCTGTCCTCTATTCCAATTTTTATTAGTCTGAATATCAGTTTGATTAAAATGTTAACCGTAAGCAAAACTCAGGTCTTCTGAATGAAGGTATCCAGAGACCTGCTAAAGGCCCCAAATAAATTTGCACTTCAACCACAGAATGAGATTTGTTAATTTGCATTCCTCCTTACTTGTAAATGAGAGGAAAAGCCTGCGTATTTGCTGTTGTTTTCCTTCAGAGTTTAAACAGTTATGTACTAGTCTGTTAGACTTATTCAGCAGACCAGCATAAGCTGTAATGAAAACTAACTCGCAATTCCCCACATTTAAAGCTGAAATAAATGCTTCAGTACACACAAACCTCTTCCGTAACTTAAATGTAAGTTCAATTGGGAAAACTGAGGAGAGTGTTTTGAACCAACTAAACATCAATCGAAAATGTTTCAGAAAGAAGCAAAACAGTCACTTTAGTAGCTATAATGCCATGATTTCAGAGCTGCTTGATATGTGCAAAACTGTTGAAGAATATTCTTTAGAAATTCAGTCTTTTAATTCCAGAAAGAAGCTACAGGTCAAAATATATTTCTTAAGTAGCTTTCACGTATTGCACAGGACAGGTGGATACAGAGCTAGAACAGAGCCATCTTGCATATGAATATAGAATGTTTAAAAATATATATATACACACACTTAGAGGTTTTAACACGAGACACCTCCAAAGAAAACTGCAGCTTAAACAATCACAAGAAATTACTCCCTGATACACTAATACTACTACAAGAGCCTGAAAAGTCAAAATGAAGTTTTGAGGGAAGCTGTAGATTCATTAGTTCTAAGCAACTTATAAACAGATGTAAATAGTTACAGCAGGTACTATACCAGAAATCACTGTCCTCTGCCAATAAAGTATGTACATTTCTGTACATTAACACACATCAGCCTTTTCAGGTGGAATCCTCATAGGGGCACATCAACAGCAGAATGCAAGAGATGAAAGACAGACCAAAATAGACCAAACCTCCCATTGATTTTTAAATATGAAATTTTACCTTGACTAAACTCTTTAGGATTTTAGAAGAAAGCAGAGGCTTGAATGCTTCAATTGTAACTGTGTCCAGTTTGATGACATCAGTGTAGCACTGATACAACACTGCAGGAATCTGCCATACTTGACAATAACTCAAAACTAAACACAAGTCAAAAGAAAATGCGTGTTACATTCAGCAGAGAAGGAATCTCAGTTCTGTGTATAAAATTGCATTTGTTCTGGCCAGAACTTCAAAAGCATGAAAGTTTATAAATTAACTACTCAGGATCCTGACTGCTAGACCAGCCATCCCTCATTCCTCAGGTACACAAGAAAATAAACCACCAGAAATTAGTAAAATGTAGTTGGCATTTCTTCCTGGCAAACACCTTAACCAGAAACTGTGTATTACTGGTAAACAAAAATAATATGAGCTTCTGTAAAAAAAAAAAAGAAAAAAAACCCAAAACAAACCCACGAAAACCAACCAAACATAAAAACTCAAAACAAAGTGCAAACAAGATAAACTTTTTCTAGAAAAATCATCCACTTTCCTCGTGATGCTACCACTAATTTGGTACTCTATAATGAAAAGGCTTGGATTTTTATTACATTACATACTAAAACTGAATCTAACTTTTACATGAGGTCGATCAGTAGCACTACTTTACCTGTAATATGCAGAAAGGACTTTATGAGCCTCAGTTTGGATGCTCAGATGAAAATAACTCTTAATAAAACATATTTAGTTCATAAGTAAAATGCCAAAAAAACCCCAATATACAATACACTTTGTGAGGCTATACTGACGAATTTGCCAGTACTGCACATAAAGGGTAAAAGGATTTGTGGGTGGTTTTGAAATTTGTCCCTATTTTACAAGGCAACATGTAAGATGTCGAATTGTTAGGAATGAAATTTTCAAAAAGCTAACTTGTTAGCCAGTTCACACAGTTAAGTAAAAATTCTAATTGCAATGGGATGCTCTTCAAAGTGAATTTTGTGTTGCCACCAGCAGCCTTGTAAATAACTGGAATTGCAAAATACCAGCAGCAGGAAGATCTCGCACAATGTTAGGTTGTTCCAGCAGTGGGCAGCAGACCTGCTCTTTGAATTCCTTTGTCTTCAAGGCTTTCAGAAATGGAGACGGAAGTGTTAAAGTGGATTCCTGAGTTTTATAATCAGCTACAGGACATGTTGAAAGAATGGTTACTTCCAAGCCCTCCTTTCGCATACAGCCAAAAACCTGAAATAAAAATGTTAATACGTAAGCAAAATTTATCTTCTCAAAACAACAGAGCAAAACCACAAAGATTCATTTTAATTTCACTGCAGATGGCAAATGGCAGTTTAATTCAGGTTTGCAGGACAAACTAAAACTTGAGTCACAACCTTCAGGTAGAAATTTCACATGCATTGCTCTTGGGATGGAGATAAAAACACCCAAAAGAACAGCTAAAATATTTACTAAGTCTACTGATTTTCTTGAGAGGCTTTTGGTTTTCAGCACTTTCTATTCACCTGCAAATATATTAAGACTTACTATTTTTACTAATGGTGACTGTAGAAAGAAAAAGGACTCCAAACAGGAAGGCAGCTTGCTAAGCTGCAAGACATTTGAAATTGAAATTGTGCTCCCCAGCTGTTCTACAGTACTTAAAAAGAGTCTTCATTTTAAACATTCAGACTTTATTTAATTATATTCAAGTTGAATTGAGAAAGAGAACCTTAGTTTTTCCACAGTCTTCCTCTAATTCAAAGAAGAGAGTTTCAAAAACATTGTACAAAACATACTTTTGGATCCACTGCATGCTGTCTCAAAACACCAACATGCTGCACAGTGTTCCACTGTTTTTAAAGAACATATATCAAAATGAGCAGAAACATGATAAACCTGCACCTTCCCTTTACACTGCCCTCTTCAGATTTATCATCAGTAAGGAAATAGGGAATTTGGCAAACATTACAGAAACTTGCCTATTTCTGTATATGGTACCAATCACAGAAGGGAAGCTGACTGTTCCCTCACATCAGTGCGTTACCACAGCAATATAAAACTGATAGAACTTTTCAGAAGCACACGCATTTTCAATTTACTTTGTTGGAAACACGGGCTGGTACGCATTACTGTGAAACTTTAGTCTGTATGTTCTCATTTTGTCGGTGATCACTTACTGAGAAAGCACATACAGCAGTAAAAATCTCGCTCATGGAGACTGTGAAGACGCTCAGTGAATCAGCTTTTATGAAGCGTACAGAACAGGTTTGTAACTCACACTAAAAGCAAAAGATTACCAGCACAACGTTTCTGCTGTACATTTAAAAATACCAATAACCATGAAGTCTAAAAATACTCAATAACGTTGACTTGGTAAAACTGCACACTCCTACTGTTCATAATCACCCATATTTGAAATAACACATATGCGCAAACAGCTGGAAAAACACAAACGGGGAAGACAGCAAAACCACAATCATCCTTCTTTTGTAATCCCATTTTAAATGAAGTGCAAGAATGTGTGGAATCTAGCAAAACCAAGATGTTTTTAGGTCTTACGGTTTCTAAACCTCAAAGTGAACCATTAACCCCCACCAAAGCAAACTAAACTCTTCAACAAGCCAAGGAACCACAAAAGGCTAGTTTTCCACAAACTTGGGTCTGAAAACCCTGTATCATTCAGTGAAGTTACCCCCGTTTTCCATCCTCTTTGCCTTCCCATAAACCCTCTGGCTCCCTCACACTGAGATGCTCCTATGCTTCTCCCTCACAACAGTTATCCTTCTCCCGCGCTGGCTGGGCCAGCTGGCCGGCTAGACTGAGCAGGGATCACCCAGCTGAGGCTGAGGACTTGCTCTCAGCGGACACATCGCTTTTATTTCACTCTTCGTATCTCTAGCCACAGACTTACACAACTTCAGCGTAAGGTAATAGCTTTAGAATCTCTGCTTGTTCATCAGATCAGCAGAGATTTAAAGGAAGGTAGGTTAGCAGACAGGCAGCAAGACAAAATAAGCCATGCTTCCTTGAGGCTAAGCAGTGACCCAAATCCATAAAGAAAATCAACAACCAGAACATTCCCCCGCCCCCGGCTTTATCTTATTAAAATCAACATGATATTTGGAGGGACCTGAATGACCCAGCAGCGTTCGTGTACCTGAATGATGCTGGGGTAAGGCGCTTAGCATACTAAGGTCTGTGAACAAACGGGACAGAGACTGCTTTGGAGGCACCTTCCTTTAGAGTTCCTCCTTGTGAAAGGAACAGAACACACCCATTAGTAAAGATACCATTCATCATGAGTTTCACAACAGGTTTGTCTGGTGATCTTTTTGGCAGCTGTACAAATGCAGTTACGTTACTATTTTTTTAAGGAAGGATTCTCCCAGAGCTGAAATGCAGCCGAAATAAACCACAGAAAATCCAAGCCAAACAGGAAAAAGGTTTGGAAAATAGTTAAGGGCAACAAAATTGAAACTGTCCAAAAGAAATAACTGCACAAAGTTGCTAATTTACAGCCGATACAACAGGCAGCATCTAGAAGGGAATTTCACAGAATCTGCAGCTAGTAAACTCGTGCATTTGACGCATGTTTAAGAAAAGAAAGCCAGAGGGAAAACAGCTATTTACAACACCATCATGTCTAGAATATCAGAGAAAGAGGCACTTACACTAAGTTGAAGATCCCCACCCCTAAGATTTCATTGCTCAGTTTGTTGTCTTGCCAGTTTTACCTTTTCAAGCCACTGGAACTGTTGGTCCTCAGCCACATAGCAACTACACTGGCACAACAAAACCTTAAAAAAAAAAAAAGTTGCATAAGCAAGTGCTTCAAAGAGCACAACAGCAGCTCATAATCACGTGTAAAGATGATGTGGCTGCAGCCAACAACTTGTTCATTTTTCTTGGGCTTCTTCAACTCTATTTCAACAGGATTTTTCACTCACAACTGATGTGAAGCAATCAGGCTGTCATACATCTTCTTTGCACTGAACTTCACATGCCAGAACTTCAAATAGTTTTAGTAAGCATAATGACCCTTCAGATTTTGATAAGATTAATCCAGAGTACTGCAGTCTTAATGCTTTGTTTGCCCTGGGCAGGGTTGGGGGTGGGTGAAGATAGCTCTCTTTTTCAGAAAGCTAAAATATAAAGGAATTCACGCATAAGTCACTTACTGTTGGATCTGATATTAATCGGTAGAACAAACAAAAAGAATCTGTTGGGAGGACATTTGTTGTGTTGGATGTTCGACACCACTCATTCCACAACTTCACAACTCCAACTACTTCCCAACATACAGAATCCAGAATAAAAGAAGACAGGAAAGCTGCAAAAAACAATAAATACTGTTAATTGATAAAGAATAAAATCTCTGTTCTACAGGTAAATACCTGAACTGAATTAGATTATTTCTTTGCAATCTCAAGTTAAAAAAAAAGTAATAACTTATTTTTATCGACATACGTTTATTGACCAAATCCAACAAAGATCAAGAATATGAGTACCCTCACCGTACCAAGACAAGATAAAGAACAGTTCTACATATAGAGATCCCTAACATCAAAACCATGTATTCTTAGGAATTATATCACTATGGTCAACTTTGATTCCTTTAGTATAAACTAAGGATGTAAATATTAATTCTCTAATACTTCTTGACATACCAGCTATAACCAATTTCTCAAAAAAAGAAAAAAAAAAAAAACAACCAAAGCAAAAAAAAAACAAAATCACTGAACCAGCAAGGCAGAACTATCACACTGGCTCTAGGAAGCAGGGAAGCTCTAGGAAGAGTATGCATGACTTAGCAGCAAAAAGAGATCCTATGTCAAATGTTCATAAATGAAACTCCTGTCAAAAGTTACTATTAAACAGAAGACAGATCTAAAATATCTGTAACTATTTTTCAAGGAAAAACCTGAACAAAGAAAAAACAAGTTAACAAAGTTAACTTAGATATCATCTAAATATCATCTATATGTGACCTAAATGTAAGGAAGTCTTAAAACTTCTTTATATCCACAAAAAAAAGAGCTATTAAAAAACCTCAAGACCTTGGTAAGTGCGTGGGGGAAGGGGAGAGGGTGTTTTAAGACTCTAGGCCTAATGAGTAAATAGCCACCTCAAAAGAGGGCATTCTCAACAAGTAGGGAATTAGAATGTGAAAAAGGGACTGACTAATCAAGAAAATAAGTAAAAAAAAAAAAAAACAAACACTGTTCATTAGAAATTTAAAAAGTTACAGCTATTGAGCCATAATTTTATTATCTTTGACAGATCCCTATTTCAAAACACTAGACTGCACTGAGCAACCTGCTATTATGAGAAGGAAACTTTTGCCAAACAAACAATCCAGGAGAGTCTATAGAGCAAACGTTAGGTAAAGGAAAAGGGGGCTCGTCCCAACTAAAATCCAAAACCAAAACATACTTTGCTTCTGCCCCTCAACTGAAAATACATCATTTTACCGTGATCTGACAGGAGGAATAACCAGCTGTGACAAAAACTGTGTTTTACAGGTACAGACTAACTTTGGCTTTCTCTGGAGAGCTCAGCTGCCGCAGGGTTACAAGCCCGCTCCCCAGATGAAGAGCTGGACACCCTTACGGACCACTCTCACAGCAGAGACCAACGTTAAGGCAGACTGTGGCAAAGGGAGCGTCCTGGCACACTCGCGCTTCCTCCCAGCCTCCTGCCTTCTCAGATTTAGCCAAGAGCAAAGCAGCAGCAGCAGCATTTCAGAGCCCCAGACGGCCTGCGTTCGCGGTTCGCACCACCTACCTGCGGCGTTACGTCCTATCGCTACTATAAACCTCGAGCACGCAAAGGGCTGGTCGGCAGAGCTTTCCGTAGACGCGCCCGACTTCAAGGTCCAGAGGACGTCGATCTCCCTGGCAAAACAGGCGGAGGGAAGTGGAGCAGCGCTCCCCGGCACGGCACGGCCTGGCCCCAGGCCCCAGGCCC